TATATATAAAAACATATATTTGTACTATCTGCACATGCACATTATGTCTTTACACTTAAAAATAAATGTGGAAACATTTTCTCTGAACACATAAAATGGAATAAAGACTATATATATATAATGTAAATCCATCCAATGTAAATACTGTAAATTATTTAATGCATTATAGACAATAAAACACCAGGTTATTTCCAAACATTCTGTCATGCAGAACAATTTTTTTAAGCTTATAAGGCACAAAAGCATCAAAAAATGGAAACCATTTGGAAAGCAAAATGGAAAAGAATTCACTACATCAAAAACAATATACAACATAGATGCTATAAACAGTGAAACCATCCCTTTGAATTTATAAGTTTGCATACATCTCTACCAGCAAATACAATCATATCAAAGCAGCTGAAAGCAGTGACAGCAAGAAATACTTCATTTATATGATGCATTTCTTCATTCTTGCCATATTCACTCACATAATATACTCTGAATCCTTGATAGGGCACAAAACAAAAAAACATGACCGACAGGAAAACAATGTTTTTCAGTTGTGCCCAGAACTCTTGACGTTGACATGTGGCCTTTCCAAATGTCTTACTCACGTTGAGTAGAAAATAAACTTGGAAAAATGCTAGCACACTCCAAACCAGTATTACTAGTATACAAATAACATAGTTTAATGTCTTCACACTAGGCTGCATGAGAGCCTGACCGAAATGAAAGCACTGAGTTGAATCATTCTGCGTCATTCCGTAGTTAGAAATAGTTACTGGGAACATAGAGCCAAATATGATCAACCAGACGGTTGCGCTTGCAATCGTGGCGTGAAGGATGCGATGAAACTCTAGCTTGTGCCGCTGATTAGAGTGCTCCACATAACGCACAATTAGAAGGAAGGCATAGAAGATGAATGCAAGATACATGTGGGCATGGATCATAAGACTGACAATTTTGCAGAAATACATGCCCAGAATCCAGTCTTTATCAGAAGCATAATAGTAAATGCGAAAAGGCAGTGTGAGAAGGAAAATGGAGTGCACTGCTATCAGGTTGATCACAGATACTTTGGTGAAAGAGAGATGACTTTGAGACTGTAGCATACAGGACATTAGTACAACATTCAGAGTCCCAGAGAG